TACTACATGTGGACCTCTCTCAGATTTGTTCATTTTGTAATGATATCTTTAATTCTCTAATTTTGGTGAATATTTTTGTAATTTTTGGTAAAAAGTGATATTTTCGACTTCTTGATAAAAACCACAAGTCCGATTGCTTTGATATTACATATATAGGTACTACATGTGGACCTCTCTCAGATTTGTTCATTTTGTAATGATATCTTTAATTCTCTAATTTTGGTGAATATTTTTGTAATTTTTGGTAAAAAGTGATCTTTTCAACTTCTTGATAAAAACCACAAGTCCGATTGCTTTGATATTACATATATAAGTACTACATGTGGAACTCTCTCAGATTTGTTCATTTCGTAATGATATCTTTAATTCTCTAATTTTGGTGAATATTTTTGTAATTTTTGGTAAAAAGTGATATTTTCGACTTCTTGATAAAAACCACAAGTCCGATTGCTTTGATATTACATATAAGTACTACATGTGGAACTCTCTCAGATTTGTTCATTTCGTAATGATATCTTTAATTCTCTAATTTTGGTGAATATTTTTGTAATTTTTGGTAAAAAGTGATATTTTCGACTTCTTGATAAAAACCACAAGTCTGATTGCTTTGATATTACATATATAAGTACTACATGTGGAACTCTCTCAGATTTGTTCATTTCGTAATGATATCTTTAATTCTCTAATTTTGATGATTATTTTTGTCATTTTTGACTATGGGATGAGTTTCTGTCCTGCGTCTGTCGTTCGTCTATCTATCTACAGTGTATCTGTCTGTCTGTCTGTCTGTGCACGACTTCTTCTCAAAAACCGCCAAACCGTTTGACTCGATTTTTGGTGTGTGAATGCCTTGATGAGTGTAGATGGTAATTTGTTCATGAGAAGTCGATCTGCCAAAAATTATGCAAATTAGCCCTCCAAAACTCTAAAATTTCTTCTATGCTACTATGACACTAAGTGGTCTACAGTGCTGATACTAATAGTGCATGTGCCTTGGGTTGTCCTCTATCAGTTTTGTTAATTTGGTAAGGAAATTTTCAATTTCCTAATTTTGGCGAATATTTTAAAATGGCATTTTTGGTCAAAAATTCTATTTTCGACTTCTTCTTCAAAACCGGTAGCCTGAATACTTTGATACTAAACTCTATGTACCTTTTGTTGACATCTACTAGATTTGTTCATTCTATGGCCATATCTTTAATTCTCTAATTTTGGCAAATATTTTTGTTATTTTTGGTTAAAAATGGAATTTCAACTAACCACTATTTCCAATGCTTTGGTGTTAATAGGCATACATGTGTTTGTTATTCCATAGACAACTTTGTGTGGTTGTTTGGCGATATTTCATTTAAATGTGTATAGACATGATTGATTTTGGTGGAAAATTATGCAAATTGCCTAATTTACATACCAATTATTCGGCTATTTTTGTGATATCTTGAGAACCATTTAATATGTTTTAATAAAACTTGGTGCATAGATGTGTTGGGGCAGTTTCCAGATATATTTAGTTTTTGTTGGAAATTTATGCAAATTATCTAATTTGCTTATCAGCTAGTGAAATTCAAGCTATTTGGGTGCTATTTCAAGAACTATTCAACATATTTCAACAAAACTTGGTATATACATGTATTACAAATTCAGATAATTGCAAATATCATGTTATGTTATTCTCTCAACACGATGGAGTTCTTTTTAAGCTCCTTTTGATTCTAATTTTATTGAATATTTCTGTTATTTTTGTAAAAAATTCCACTTTTAGCATTATGTTTTATTGTGTCACTCACTGCCTTTTGAGGTTTTTGTCATATACAGCACTAATCTTTTGTACAATAGCCATTGGCCTATTTTTGGTAAAAAAAAAGATATTTTCGACTTCTTGTTTAAAACCACAAGTCTGATTGTTTTGATACTATACATATTGTTCATTTTCCAATGATATCTTCAGTTTTTAATTGAAATGTGCATTGCTAACAGCATATTTTATTCATTTTTCATCAAAAACTTGTCCCTCAAAACCAGTAGTTCAAAATTCTTTGATACTTGTACACATGCAACTTGGGTAGACCTCTATTAGATTTGTCCATTTCGTAAGATATCTTCAATTCTCTACTTTTAGTGAAATATTCTCTGCAACAAAATCAAGAAAGTTGGTGTCTTGCGATATTACCGGTAAAGCAGCTAGCATTAGGTTTAAATTGCTTCTTTATAGTCATTTGACTTCTTGTTAAAAACCAGGTACTACATGTTGACCTATCTCAGATTTGTTCATTTCGTGATGATATCTTCAATATCTAATTTTGATGAATATTTTTGTCATTTTTGGTGAAATGTGATTTTTTTGAATTCTTGGTGAAAACAGAAAGTCTGATTGCTTTGATACTATACATATTGTTCATTTTCTAATGATATCTTCAGTTCTTTAATTGAAATGTGCATTGCTAATAGCGGAGCTATCTCAGTTGACAGTCTGCTTGTTTATAACGTTAATTATCTAACTTGCATATGGCATATTGTATCATGCCTGCCTTACATCTGGGAGATCATTGAATTGCTCAACTGCCAGTGCTCACTCATCCATCAATGGAATGGAACTTTCAGTGCAAATATAAAGCTGGTGACATTTGTGTTTCGTAGCACCACAGACATCTCCTCGCATCATGTTCAATTTGGGTCCTATTCGCTGTATACAACGTGTTCAAAACACATTGCTTGTTTACACAAAATTTAAACTTTTAAAAAAAATATATACATGTAGCAATGCAATGCAATGTTTCGATATGAACAAAATGGACACTATCATTGACAGCTATCTTAGGAAATGCATATAGAAGTTAGGATTACAGAATAACGTTTTAAGAATTGTGAGATTTTTCACTAAACAGTCTTTATTTCAGAGTAACATCCATCAATTGTTTTCACTTAACAGGAGACGGTTGACAGTATGCCCCATACTAGAAGGAGAGGAACATCTTAGGCTACTCAATTTTCAACATAATATGATAACTAAAATACAACATTTAAATAACTTAAGGAGGCTGATATTCTTAGATCTCTATGACAACCAGATAGAGGAAATATCAGGCTTGAATACTTTGAAATCGCTCAGGGTACTAATGCTTGGTAAGAACAGGTAAGAGACATTAATTATTTAATTACATTAGGTGGCATAGGTATAGAATAAGAGTTGATAGTTTGATATACACTGCCTGCATAAAACATTAGGTGGCATTGGTGTAGAATAAGAGTTGATAGTTTGATATACACTGCCTGCATAAAACATTAGGTGGCATAGGTATAGAATAAGAGTTGATAGTTTGATATACACTGCCTGCATAAAACATTAGGTGGCATTGGTGTAGAATAAGAGTTGATAGTTTGATATACACTGCCTGCATAAAACATTAGGTGGCATAGGTATAGAATAAGAGTTGATAGTTTGATATACACTGCCTGCATAAAACATTAGGTGGCATAGGTATAGAATAAGAGTTGATAGTTTGATATACACTGCCTGCATAAAACATTAGGTGGCATTGGTGTAGAATAAGAGTTGATAGTTTGATATACACTGCCTGCATAAAACATTAGGTGGCATTGGTGTAGAATAAGAGTTGATAGTTTGATATACACTGCCTGCATAAAACATTAGGTGGCATTGGTGTAGAATAAGAGTTCATAGTTTGATATACACTGCCTGCATAAAACATTAGGTGGCATAGGTATAGAATAAGAGTTGATAGTTTGATATACACTGCCTGCATAAAACATTAGGTGGCATAGGTATAGAATAAGAGTTGATAGTTTGATATACACTGCCTGCATAAAACATTAGGTGGCATTGGTGTAGAATAAGAGTTGATAGTTTGATATACACTGCCTGCATAAAACATTAGGTGG